TTTTGGATGCCCGGAGCCAACTGTAGGCCACTTCGTGCTCTTCGAGTTCCCAGAACTCCATTCCCGGGCCACATTTTGAATGCCCGGAGCCAACTGTAGGCCACTTCGTGCTCTTCCACTTCCCAGAACTCCATTCCTGGGCATGATTTTGAATGCCCGGAGCCAACTGTAGGCCACTTCGTGTTCTTCTAGTTCCCAGAACTGCATTCCTGGGCCACATTTTGACTGCTGAGGCAGGCTGATGCTGCGGCCGAGGCAGGCTGAGGCTGAGGCAGGCTGAGGCGAGGCCGAGGCTGAAGGCAGACTGAGGCTGAGGCTGAAGCAGACTGAGGCTGAGGCTGAGGCAGGCTGAGGCTGAGGCTGAGGCAGGCTGATGCTGAGGCAGGCTGAGGCTGAGGCTGAGGCTGATGCAGGCTGAGGCTGAGGCAGGCTGAGGCTGAGGCCGAGGCTGAAGGCAGACTGAGGCTGAGGCTGAAGGCAGGCTGAGGCTGAGGCTGAGGCAGGCTGAGGCTGAGGCTGAGGCAGGCTGAGGCTGAGGCTGTGACTGCGACTGCCGTTGCCACTGCGACTGTCATCGCGAATGCGACTACGACTGCGAGAACAGCAGAATTCTACAACTGGATTCTCATCTGAATCTTAAGGGGAAATCTTCCAGATATGCTCCTACACGTCGCTGTTAGGTTGCTTTGCCGGGATAATTTTTGGGGTATATGTGGGGAACTTTTGAACTTTCGTCGAAAATAATCCCCCTGTAGGGGGACACGCCCGACCTAACCCGAGAGTCCCGGGGGCGCCTTCGGCCAGGGGGCTTCTCTGGCAGCACCCGGAGCCCGTTGCCCCCGCTGGCCTCCGGGGCCGGTCTCGGGCCGCGGGGCCACCGGGGCCCGTCCGCGGGACGCGGTTCGACCTCTGGAGGTCCGCGTGGAGGCAGAGATCACAGAGGACAAACAGAGTTACGTCGGGCATGCCCCTCGACAGGAGGAATGCTCAAACATAGTCAAACCTAGTCTGGGGACGGTTTTTGGAGTCATTTTTTAGAACAATATTGGAGTTGTTTTAATGTTTTTTTTGTTTGTTTTTTTTTGTTATTGCTTTTTGTTGGGTGTGCGTCACAAAATCCCCCTGTAGGGGGACACGCCCGACTTAATAACAGAGCCCCTAACCCTGATAACACGACGAAGACGCGGTCTCACTGAGGTCCCCGTCTTTGCGTTAGGGATCATGAATCTGGGCGGTCTGGTTCGATACATCTGCAGAACAGACACCCTTATCCCTAATGTTCGTGGCCCTCCTAACTTAGGTCCCCTCCCAAAGGGTTAGGGGTGTGCTTGTTTGGTTAATCGAAAAATCCCGTCGTCGGATGTCGGGATGCTCAGTGTGGCGAGTGTGTGTGGTGCCTTTTCTCTCTTTCGAGGCCACATTACGTGGTTTCCCTCGTTCCGTTTTTCTTTTTCACCGTTTTTTTGTTTTCTCCCAGGTTCGGTTACTCTCTCGGTTTGTTTGCTTTTTGTCCCTCGGTTTGTTTCTTCCTCAGGTTGAGGGGGGGTTCTCCTCGGGCCTCGGGGCCGTCAAGACTGGTCCACGGGAAGTGGTCTCGAGACGTCTGCGGGGCCCGCGTGGAGGCAGAGGTCCCGTCGCCGCTCTTCCGTAGCCCGCGGGCTCCAGAGGTCTCTCTGCTGACGGCCAGCAGTCGTCTGACCGGTCCCCATCCCCGCCGGGCCGCGATGGCTCGGGAGGGACTCGGGGGCGGAAAAGAGGGGGGTGAGCGACTATATGGGGGGGGTGGATATCACGGCGGGGGCCATGATGTTTCCCCAGATTTCAGGGCGCCTCTTCTCATTTCGTTACGCCCCTGGCCCCCCCGCTGGGCCGCGCACATGCCGCCGGTCATGATCTGCACCCCCCCCTTCTTGGACACCCCCCTCTTGGCCGCTCCCGAGAGGGAGGGAGGGAGGGCCCCGCCGGCCCACCCCCGTGAGTTGGGGGCAGGCCCCGCGGAGCCCGGCGGAAGCAGCCTGAACATCCCCACCCCTGGGGGATAGCTTCACCAGTGGGGCCCAAGGACACACAAATAAGTACACACAAATAACAGGATCCCCTATATTTTCTTATATTTTCTGGGTTTTCGTCTCCCCCCCACACTTCCCATATTTTCCCATATGTTCTGGGGAATCGACGATTAATTGTGTCTGTGTGTTTCTTTTCCTCCTGAGTAGCTTGACCAGTGGGGCCAAGGCCACGCCGGCGGGGACGGGGATAGGCTCAGCGATGCTCCCACGAGCAAGTCCACACTGAGTGCTCGGTCTCCGCACGGATTTGCCCCGTCTGGACTTGGCCTCTCCGGAGAGGGTGCTGAGAGCCCATGCGGAGCAATCGGCGGCGAGCGAGGGGGGAACTGGTGAGGAGAAGGCCTTCTCAGAAGGCGGTCCGACTTCTCAGAAGCCCTCGCGCCTTCTGAGAAGTCTTCCATGTCTTCGGGGAAGGCCTTGGAGACTTCTCAGACGTCCGAGGGGACTTCGGAGCCTCCTGAGAAGGTCTTCTCCTTCTCACTTCCCCCCCCCCCCTCGCTCGCCGCCGAAGTAAGTCCGCATGGAGTGCCTGACCTCCGCCTGGACTTACTCTGTCTGGACTTCGCCTCTCCCGAGCCAGGCCGTGCAAGGCATCCTCGCGGGGCTCCCCGTCGCCCGTCGGGCCCCGGCGGGAGCCCGATTTTGTGGCCGAGGACTTCTCGCCGCCTCGTCCCCGGCCTCCCCCTGGTCCCTCCCTGCCTCCCTCGTTTTGTTGTTGTTGTTGTTGTTGTTGTTGTTGTTGTTGTTGTTGTTGCTGCTGTTGTTGTTGTTGTTGTTGTTGTTGTTGTTGTTGTTGTTGTTGTTGTTGTTGTTGTTGTTGTTGTTGTTGTTGTTGTTATTAATTTCTTTTCCCTCCCCTCTCTTCTCTCCCCTCCCCTTCTCTCCCCTCCCCTCCCCTTCCCTCCCCGTCCCTCCTCTTCCTCCTCTTCCTCCTCCTCCTCCACCTCCTCCTTCTTCTGTCTACACACGTGGATTTCTTCAATGTTGCCCCCCCTCCCCCCAGGGGGGGGCATCTTGTTAACTTCATCTCCTTTTGTCCAGACCGCGTGGCCGATACGATCGGCAGTTTGTGCTTGCATATCGTCTGTTTGAAAGCTCTCGTCAACATGGTACTTTCCACATACAGGGACCAGCCACCCTTAAGGCTGTGTATTCCCTCCTCCTCCTCCTCCTGCGCCCTCCTCCTGCGCCCTCCTCCTCCGCCCCCTCCTCCCCCTCCCTCCCGCTCCTCCTCTTCCCGCTCCTCGTCCTCCTCTCCTCCTCCTCCTCCTCCCCTCCTGCTGCTGCTCCTCCTCCTCCTCCTCCTCCTTCTCCTCCTTCTCCTCCTTCTCCTCCTCTTTCACCTCCTCCTCCCCCTCCCTCCCGCCCTTCCTCCCTTCGTCTGCCCCGCCCTGCCCGTGGCCTGGCCTGCCCAGGGCGCGCCCGCGGCGCACAGCCAGGGGGCGGCCCGCCGCCCCGCCCTCCCCCCCCTGGCCGGCGGCGCGCTGCGAGCGGTCGGCCGCGCGCAGGAGCGGCCCTGCCAAGGGTGGGGATGTAGGCGCAGGGGGGGGAATCCCTCCTCCCTCGCCCTCCCCCCTCCGCCTCCTCTTCTCCTCCTCCGCCTCCCGCCTCCTCCTCCGCCTCCTCCTCCGCCTCCTCCTCCCCCTCCTCCTCTCCTCCTCCTCCCCTGCTCCTGTCCTCCTCCTCCTCCTCCTCCTACCTCCTCCCTCCTCTTCCTCTCTCCCTCCTCCTCCTCCTCTCCTCCTTCCTCCTCCCTTTCCTCCTCCTCCTCCTCTCCTCTTGCTTCTCTCCTTCTCTCCTCCTCCTCCTCCTCCTCCTCCTCATTGTCCGCTCTCCTCCTCCCTCCTCCTCCTCCTCTCCTCCTCCTCCCGCCTCCCCCTCCTCCGCCCTCCTCCGCCTCTCCTCCTCCTCCTCCTCCGCCCTCCTCCTCCTCCTCTCCTCCTCCTCCCCTCCCCTCCTCTCCTCCTCTCCTCCTCGGTTCCTCTCTCCTCCTCCTCCCCTCCTCCTTGTCCGCCTCCTCCTCCTCCTTCCTCCCCCTCCTCCTCCTCTCCTCTTCTCCTCCTCCTCCTCCTCCTCCTCGTCCTCCCGTCCTCGTCCTCGTCCTCCTCCTCCTCCTCCTCCTCTTCCTCCTCCTCCTCCTCCTTCTCCTCCACACAACACACAACACACAACACACAACACACACAACACACAACACACACAACACACAACACACACAACACACACACACGCCCACGCCCACGCCCACGCCCACGCCCACGCCCGCGCCCGCGCCCGCGCGCGCGCCCGCCCGCCCGCCCGCACGCACGCACGCACGCACCCACGCACGCACACGCACACGCACACGCGCACACACACACACACACACGCAGACGCACGGGGCGCAGCCTCCAGCACGGCGGCTCGAAAGCCAGCTCGTGGGCGCCGCAGGCAACCACCCCACACAACACCAGCCTCCTCCGCCTCCTCCTCCTCCTTACTCCTCCTCCTTTTCGTGGCCGAGGGCCCGCGTTGAGACCGAGGAGGGGAGGGGGGGGGCGGGACCGGGGCGCGGGGAGCGGCACCCGGGAGGGCGCAGTTAGCAGCACGGGGGCGGGCAGTGGCGGCCGGCTCGAGAGGCGAGCCCAGCGATTGCACCCATGTGCACACGTGCGTGTCGGGTGCAAATCCATGCGCGCGTGCGCACGCAAGCTCAGAGAAGCGGCGCTTCCCCTTTTTGTCCAGTTTGGTTCCTGACATCTCATGAATAATCGCAGTTTCGTGTGAGGCATCCTTCAAACAATTGCTTCGGAGGAGACGTCGAACCAGCATCATCTTGGAATCGGTCCCGGGTGGCTTCAAAACGACCCAAAGCAGCCCCAATAGGCCTCCCAGATGACGCAAAGTAGGCCTCAAGAGGCTCCCACAAGCGCCCCAGGAGGCCCCCAGACGGCCCAACAGGGCCCCAAGACAGCCCAACATGGCGCCAAGAATGCCGGCGGCAGCAAGTTTGGCTCAAGCTCAAGCAGAGAGCATACATCGTACATACTTTCACTTTTCTTGACCCTTCGATTTCGTGCGACCTGAGCCTGATCATACAATGCAGTTGTCGAAGCAGGCGCTCCTGCTCTTATTTTCCTTCGCCCAGCCGGCCAGCTCCCTGCACCGGGGCAAGACCATCGGCGCGATGATGCCGACGCCGTCCCCGCTGAGCCTTGGGACGATAAGCGCCGTCGGGGACCCGCACATGACGAACCTGTACGGGCAGCGCTTCGACGTCGTGCAGCCTGGTCAGCACACGCTGATTCGTATTCCGACTCATTCACCGGTTGGGCGTGTGCTTCTCCTCGTCGACGCGGAGGCCAAGCACGAGGGATCCGCTTGCTCGGACATGTATTTCAAGACGGTGAACATCTCCGGGACGTGGACCAGGGGCAAGAGGCCAGAGGATCTGCGTTTCTGGGCATTTCGGCAAGGTGCATCTGAAGATCGTTCATGGGTACACCAAACAGAGTATTTCGTACCTGAATATCTACGTCAAGCACCTTGCAGATACGGGCCTGCCTGTCGGAGGTCTTCTAGGACAAGACGATCATACGAGGGCTGCAACGCCTGACGCATCCTGCAAGAGGACCCTCAATCTTTGACAAGCTCCTCCCAGAGCTGATTTTGTGATACAAGAAACTTACGCCATTCCGCCGACCCCCATAGCAGTGAATTCGTCATGAGTCTTGTCACCGTGCCTGGCCTGTGGGTCAGGAGCCTCGGGGATGCATATAAGTGTCTCCTGGAATGCCTCTCGGCGGCCTCTTGGAGGGCTCTTGAGGCCTTTGATTGGCTTTGGGGGGCCTCCTTGGTGCCTCTTGGAAGCCTCTTGGGGCCTCTTAGAGGTGCCTCGGAGGTCACTGGGGGGCTCTTGGGACCCTGTCGGCGGGAAGAACTCAAGATGTTAGTTCGTTTTGTCCCTCTTGGGCCCCTCTCGGGGTCCTCCTGGGCCGTCTGAAACGGGGCTGATTCATTCGGTGCTCAAATCATCCGGTCCGACTCATCTGGCCTAATTCATCCGAGGCTGAATTCATCCACGCATAATTAATCCGATCCCTAGCGCATCTGGTCTGGTTCATCTTTTGCGTAAACCATCCAGGCTAATCCATCCAGTACCTATTTCGTCATGTCCAAATCATCCGGTGACCAACTCATATGGTTCAAGACTTGTCTGGCCAAACTCACTTGATGCTTAGTTCATCCAGAGTTTATTTCATCTGGTGATTGCAGCCCATCCGATCACTATCTCATCAAGTGCTTAACTGATCCGCTGACTAACTCATTCGGTGCTTGGCTGATCCGGTGTATAACTCATCCGCGAACTAATTCAACGGTGACTTACTCATCCAGTGCATGACTCCCGTTGCGTGTAATTCACCCCGCGCGCGCCGATCTCACCCGGTGCCTGACTCACCCAGCGAGTAATTGAACTGACCCCAACCACCCGGTGCCGAACTCACCCGGCACAAAATTCGTCCGTTACATCCCCTGCGTCGCCGTACGTGTCTTCTTACACTCCCGCCTCCTCCCCACTTCGTCCCCAACGTCCTTTTCACGCTCGGCATTTTGCTCCTTCAGTTCCTCGTCCTCTTCGGCTCTATCCGCTTGGAAATCGCACAACCATGGGAAACAACCATTATCATCCTCATCTCGCCCACGTTCTCAGAAAAACGAGAAGCAAGCGAAGACAACCCGAGGCTTCCCAAGACAGACCGAAAGGCGACCAAGAACGCCAGCGACAGCTCCAGGACGACTCACAGATTTGCTTGACTACGAAACGTTTTGTAGTCGAGCAAATGTTCAAATGCCTCGCCTAGCCAAATCCAACCTCAAGAGCAGGCCAGGACAGCGCCAGACAACCCAGAACAAACCAAGCTGCTTGACTGAACAACGTTTTGTAGTCACGCCATATTGTCAGGACTGCACTGGCCCAATCAAACCCCATAAGCAAGCCACGACTAACCAGGCCTCCCAAGAGAGCCCAAGAAGCGCCCAAGACCAGAACTGGACAGCCCCAACACTGCTTTGAAATGTGATTCGCTACAAAGCAATCTGTAGTTCAACAATGTTTGAACCAAGCACATGTCCAAAAACATCGCATTTCGCAGTGAAACCCGGAAAGGAAGCCAGGACGAACCCACGCTTTTAATGACAACCCAAGATGCGCCCAAGACCTCAATGCGTGAGGTCCACGATTGCTTGAAAAATGGCTCGACTACAAAGCGTTCTGTAGTCATGCAAAATTGTTTAAAGACTTGGCCTGGCCCAGTGGAATCCGTAGAGCGAGCCGAAAGCGACACCTTACGCTAACTTACGCTACCTCACGCTTCAATACCACCACATGACGTTGATTGACGTTACGTTACGCTCACTGGCGCTGTCTTGCGCCAGGAGACTCCATCAGGGAACGTTGGGGACAGGCACGGCCAGGAGCGGAAACCATGACGAGTCAGTTCGCCGATAAAAAAGACCCCCAGGGAAAGATGTTGGGCGCGAGTTTCGTCGCATAGGTGGAAAAAAGTAGAAATCTCATAACCCAATGACATCACCAGGGGTGCTCATTTCTCACACCAGAAATCCAACAATAGGACGAGGACGAGGAGAAGGATGAGGAAGAGTGGGAGGGGGAAGAGGAGCGAAAGATGACGGCGACGACGACGACGACTCGAAGACGACCTTAAACTTTGCTTGACTATGAAGCGTTTTGCGGCCAACCAAACTTTCAAGGGCCTGGCCTTCCCCAACCGAACACAAGCACAGAGCCAAATGGGCAAAACTTCACAAGACAGACCAACACTGGCCGTGCCAGCACCAAGCTAGCCTGAAAGTTTGCTTGACTACAAAACGTTGCGTAGTCAAACCAATTTTCATCCGACAACCCAGATCTGGACTCAGCCGGCCCCCATAACTCATCCGGTGCCTCACTCACCCAGTGCCGCTTACTCAGTCCCCAAATTCACCCCTATGCGTAATACATTCGCGGTGCATAATTCACCTGAGGCCTGTAATTTACCTGGTGTTTCATACTCACTCGCTGTGCGTAACTCACCTTGTGCCCTTAACTCACTCCGTGCCCCTGACTCACCCAGTATACACAGCTCACACGATACACCTAACTCACACGGTGCCGAATTCATCGGGTGCCGAACTCATCCAGTGCTTAATTCATCCGGTGACTAATTCATCCGGTGCCTAAGTCATCCCGGCCCTCATTCATCCAGTGCCCAACTCATCCGGTGTCTCAGTCATCCAATGCCTCATTCATCGGGTGCATAACTCATCCAGTGCCTAACGCATCCAGTGCCCTAACTTATCCTGTCACTAATTCTTCTGGGCTGTCTCATCCCGTGACTATCTCCCAGACCAATTTATCCAGTACTGAATGATCCAGTCTAATCCATCCAGTCGCGATTCACCCAGACTGCGGATCGGATGAATCGGAGCGGATGCGTCGCTATTGGACGAATCAGCCTGTCTCCGTAAGGGCCCCCCAGGGCCAGGGCCGGGGGATTTCAGACGCTTCCTCACTCCCCGCAAGCAAGCGGGGGTCGGCGGATTTTTGCTTGGGCCTCCGCGAGGCAGCACCGCTGCGTGGGCCAACACCCTGTCCACCGCCGCTGTGCGGCCCGCTGGCCTGCCGCCGTGTAGTGCCAGGGCAGGGCGAGGATCGAGGCTCGAGGTTCGAACAGAGGAGGAGGAGGTGAAGATGCAATCAAGAGGAGAAGGCGGCTTGCAACCTTTCAGCATCGTCGTCGTGGCGCATGCGATGTGCTGCGAACCGCGGTCTACACCGCGCGGGAGACGCATGGCAGGGCCCTGGCTTGTCCAAAGCGGCCTGCGCAATACACCTTGTGCACAGTCTGGGCCCTGCCTCCTCCCCGTTGTGCAGTGTACTTCAGCCATAAATGGCGCCAGTACTGCTTCTGCTTGAGAGAGTTCCCACAGAACCCTAAGACACGCCCAGACAGGCCAAAAAGATCACAGCAGCCCCCAAGAGGACCTCGAAAGGCCACAAAGAGGCCCCCAAGATGGCCCAAGCTAGCTCCAAACGGCTCCAACAGTCCTTTAGGTAGTCTCAGAAGATCACGAACCCCCTTCTTCGGTGTCCTCTCCCTCGTGCTCCTTACCTTCCGGCGTCGGCGTCGTCCTCTTCCTCATCCGCTTCGTTCCTACATTTTTACTCATCATCATTGTGCACTCGTTGTCCTCCTGCTCACCTCGCTGCCCGCCCCGTCCTCCACGCTGTCGTCCTCGTCGTCCGCCGCAGTGTTGTCGCCATCATCTTTCTTTTCATTTCCTTACGAGCCATATGGGTAACACCGGCGCTCCCCGTACTTGTGCGATCAGGTGTTTGATGCGGCTGCGGCAGGGCGGTGAGGTGTTTGGGGGTCTCGCGGCCGCCATGAAGGAAAGACAGGGAAGATGCGAAGAGGGTAAGGGGAGAAGAGGGGGGAGGAGGGGAAGAGAGGAAGAGGGCGAGGGGGATGGAGAAGAGGGGAATAGGGGTGTGTTGATGGGAAGAGACACAGCCACAGACACAACCACAGACACAACCACAGACACAGCCACAGACACAGCCACAGACACAGCCGCAGACACAGCCACAGACACAGCCACAGACACAGCCACAGACACCACAGACACCACAGACACCACAGACACCACAGACACCACAGACGCCACAGACACCACAGACACCACAGACACCACAGACACCACAGACACCACAGACACCACAGACACCACAGACACCAGACACCACAGACACCACAGACACCACAGACACCACAGACACCACAGACACCACAGACACCACAGACACCACAGACACCACAGACACCACAGCACCGAACACCACAGAACACCACAGAACACCACAGACACCACAGGAACCACAGACACCACAGACACCACAGACACCACAGACACCACAGACACCACAGACACCACAGACACCACAGACACCACAGACACCACAGACACCACAGACACCACAGACACCACAGACACCACAGACACCACAGACACCACAGACACCACAGACACCACAGACACCACAGACCACAGACACCACCACAGAACACCACACACCACAGACACCACAGACACCTGACCACAGACACCACAGACACCACAGACACCACAGACACCACAGACACCACAGACACACACCACAGACACCACAGACACCACAGACACCGCACCACAGACACCACAGACACCACAGACGCCACAGACACCACAGACACCACAGACACCACAGACACCACAGACACCACAGACACCACAGACACCACAGACACCACATACACCACATACACCACAGACACCACAGACACCACAGACACCACAGACACCACAGACACCACAGACACCGCAGACACCACAGACACCACGGACACCACAGACACCACAGACACCACAGACACCACAGACACCACAGACACCACAGACACCACAGACGCCACAGACACCACAGACACCACAGACACCACAGACACCACAGACACCACAGACACCACAGACACCACAGACACCACATACACCACATACACCACAGACACCACAGACACCACAGACACCACAGACACCACAGACACCACAGACACCGCAGACACCACAGACACCACGGACACCACAGACACCACAGACACCACAGACACCACAGACACCACAGACACCACAGACACCACAGACGCCACAGACACCACAGACACCACAGACACCACAGACACCACAGACACCACAGACACCACAGACACCACAGACACTGACACAGACACAGACACAGACACAGACACGGACACGGACACGGACACAGACACAGACACAGACACAGACACAGACACAGACACAGACACATCCGTATCCATTTTGGCTCATGAGCTGCTCCTCGGGCGCGCGCGGGCGCGGGCTCGGCGCGCAGGAGGCGCTTCTGGGCGCGGATGGCGACGGTCGGCTGCATGGCCGCCTGCGAGGCGGTGGAGCAGCCAGGGCGCGCAACTGGGGGTTCTCTCTGGCCTGCGCGGAGGGCGCGGCGTGCGGCTGCGCAGCAGGCGGCTAGCGGGAGGCTGGCTGCCGCCCTGCGCCGCGTCACGGAGCTCGAGGCCACCATCGTCGCCTTGCAGGCCCGCGTCGCTGCTGAGGAGGCTCGGCGCGTGGCGGCGGCGGCCCAGGCGGTGCGTCTCGCGAAGCTGGCGGGCGGCATCCCGGAGCCTAACGCGGCGCTCGCGGACGAGCTCGCGACCAGGATGGCGCTCGCCGCGCCGATCCTGGAGGGCGTCCTGGCTGGAGAGCCCGACGGCGCAGGGACGGCCGTGCGTGCCTTGTGCCGAGCGCGGCGCAACGCGGGCCTGCACTGCGCGGCCGCGCCAGCCGCCGCCATCAGGCGGGCGGGGCTGCCGCAGCTCAACCGCTGGCAGCGGCAGGGCGTAGGCAGGCATGGCGGCAGCAGGCGGAGGCTGGGCAGCAGGCGTGGGTGCCGCGCGGCCGCGCCGCCGACGGGCCGTCGGCAGCCTGTGGCTCGGCCCCTCCTGCAGGATGCCGACGTCGAGGCGAAGCTCGTGGCGGGCGTTTTCGTGGGCGTCTCCGATGAGGTCGGCGACGGGTTCGAGGGGGCGAGTATACGTACGTGCATACATACATACATGCATACACACATACACACATACATGCAACACACAAACACACATACATACACACATACATACTTACATGTGTACACACAACCACACAACCATACATACACTTACACATACACTACATACCTGCACACAAACACTACATGTATCCATCCATCCACCAAGCCACCCATCCATACACATTCACACATACATACATTCATTTTTACACGCATACATACATTCATATATACACACATACATGCATGCATACAAACATATATGCATGCACACACACATACATACATACATACATAATTACACACGTACACATATACCACACGTACGTACATACACATATCCGTACACACATACATTCAAGTACACACATGCGTACATTCACACAACCATACATACATGCATACGTGCATACATACATACATACATACATACTCATACACGTGTAAATACATTCATACACGCAGTCATACACACATACAAACATGCATATCTACATGCAAACATGCATACATGCGCACACGCATACACACATACATACACACAACCATGCATACACGCATGCAACCACACATGCACACATGCGTGCATGCATGCATGCACCCATGCACCCATACATTGAGACACACACACATATTCAACCATACACACATGCATACCTACCTACGTACCTACCTACCTACCTACATCCATACACACATACACATACACACACATACAGCCATACATACATACATGCATGCATGCACGCATGCATACATACATACACGCATCCGTACACACCCGCACACATACGTACATAAGCACGTACATACCTACCTACATACATGCAACCATGCACACACATACCTACACACGTATATGCATATAGGTATCATGTGCAGATTCGACGAACAACAATACTTGGCGGGGGCGCCCGCCGAGCTTCTGCCGCCGCGGCCATGGAACGCCCCGATCCTAGATCGTCGATCCTTCGACCAGGGGGTCGGCGATCCTCGGTCATGCTCGATTTCCGATCCTCGATCCCCGATCTTTCGATCCTCGATCCCCGATTATCCCATACTTCATGTTTTCGCAGAATCTACGAACCATGCGTAGAGTCTTCCGTGATTTTACGGAGCCATCTACGCTTTTCCCCACATGTTTCGTGAGGTTCTTGATTTCTTTTCACCCGCGTCGCCCGCGTTCCTCAGTCACACCCTCTCCTGAACACGGCACAGCACAGCTCAGCTCAACACAGCAAAGCGCGGCACTTTCTCGACACCGTAGGGGGTGCGCAGGGGGTGGTCTCTCACCGCGGCCGCTATGCGCGCCACTCGTCCATGCAACGCGGGCGTTGCACTTTCTCAACACCAGAGGGGGTGCGCAACTGGTGGTCTCTCACCGCGGCCGCTATGCGCGCCTCTCGTCCAGGCCATAGCAGGCGTGGCACTTTCTCAACACCAGAGGGGGTGCGCAAGGGGTGGTCTTTCACCGCGGCCGCTATGCGCGCCTCTCGTCCAGGCAAAGCAGGCGTGGCACTTTCTCGACACCGTAGGGGGTGCGCACGGGGTGGTTTCTCACCGCGGCCGCTATGCGCGCTTTTCGGCCTCGGCAAAGCAGGCGAGGCATTTTCTCGACACCGTAGGGGGTGCGCAGGGGGTGGTCTCTCACCGCGCCGCTACGCGCGCCTCTCGTCCAAGCACAGCAGGCGCGGTATTTTCCCGACAGCGTAGGGGGTGCGCATGGGGTGGTCTCTCACCGCGGCCGCTACGCGCGCCTCTCGTCCAGGCACAGCGGGCGTGGCAGTTTCTCGACAGCGTAGGGGGTGCGCAGGAGGTGGTCTCTCACCGCGGCCGCTATGCGCGCCTCTCGTCCCGGGCACAGTAGGCGTGGAATTTCTCGACATTACAGGGGGTGCGCAAGGGGTGGTCTTTCACCGCGGCCGCAATGCGCGCCTTTCTTCCAGGGCACAGCAGGCGTGGCACTCTCTCAACACCAGAGGGGGTGCGCTGGGGGTGGTCTCTCACCGCGGCCGCTACGCGCGCCTCTCGTCCAGGCAC